AGCATAACTAGAAGGTTTAAACATTCATATATTTTTGTACAAAAGAACACAAACTGATATCAGGCAGTATAAATTTATAATAAATTCTTAGGCTGTATAAATTATAAGAACCAGGTAAGAAGACAGAAGTCTATTTAAAAAACCCAAATAAAGAGATAACCTAAACTTTTAACAATACTATCATAAAGACTAGATCTATAAAACAGAGCTAGAATTCATAAAGTTAGTCAAAGAACCAGTCTTTGAAAAGTGGCTAAATAAAACCAGTCAGGCTATCAGGATTTATTCTAAAAGAAAGATTATATATTAAAGAATATATAAACTAGAGATATAGTTATGATTTATCTTTTCAAACTATCTAATCTGAAAACTTGATGAAACTTAAATAGAATATCAAAGTAGTAGGGATATATTGTAAAATCAGTATTAGGATTAAGATAAATTTTATAAAAGCATAGTAGTTTAATAGTATATCCTAACTGTAAGTGTTGGTTATAGTTATAGTGATACTAGGTTAGCTATAAAAATATAATACAGAAAATTCTAAAGGTTTAATATAAGATCAAAGGTTTTCTATATAAGTGAACTGCTTTAAAGACTTAGTAACTATTATATATTTTTATCAACATCAGTCAAGATTATTAGTAAGCAAAGGTAGGTAGATGAATACAGAAACTAAAGTGTTTAAATAAAAAACTTACAAGCAGGTTCCAAGTATAACAACTAGTGTAGAACCTTCAGATAGATTATTTAAATTAGACAATAATTAAAGTTGTATAAGTAGCTAGTTGTATACTCTTTCTATAGTTGCCTCTTGTGGTTGTAATGCAACTATTAACCAAATATACTATCAATAAAATTCCGAGACACAAGTACTCACCTTAATATTTAAAAAAAAAGCTTATAAATAATAAATATATATATATAAGTTTATTTATATATAGAGAATAGACAAATATATATAAATATATAAATGTTAAATATTTATTATTAATAAATTTAACTTGTTATATTAAAGAATTAATAAAATATAACACAAAATTTTAACTATTAATTTATAATTAACAAACTCAAACATCAATTAAATTTAATTTTAAGTTTAGATTTTTTATTACTAAAGAACTTATACTTATAAAATTAACAGTTAGAAATAAAAATTTATTTAAATCTAATGTAATAAATAGTGTTAGATAAAAATAGTTCTAATTACCTTTATTATACAGTATAATTTGATCTAATTTAATAAACAGTGAGCATATACTGTCTTCTAAGTAAAGTTATAAAACTATTAATTATTGCTAATTATTTTTGTATAGTAAATATAGATGTTGTAATCCAAATGACAATCCGGCCAAATTATGAACTAATTTAGCTTAGAAATTAGGATTAGATTTGGCCAATTTTCATTTAGGCTGTTCCAATTAACAATCGAAACTAGATTGTTATTTGGGATACAACATAAACATTCTATTAAAACAAAAAAATAATTTTTATGATAATTTTTTATTAATGTTTTCAAAAAGTACTTTAAAGTATATAAATAAGTTATCCAAGCAATTGATTTATGTTAGCCAATCATATGAATGTTCTTCTATAAACGATTATTTAAAAAAGTATAAATTTTTCATATAACAATTAACTAATTAGAAACCATATTGTCAACACATAATATTAACAGATAAATAATTATTGAACTATGCAGCCAATCAATAGGCATAATTTAGTTCAACTTCAAGTTACGTTTTAGAAAAATAAAACTATTCACTTAGCTTATAATAACAATAAAAACTTTATTAGAAAAGATTTTAATAAAAAGTTACACATTTTTTATTAATATTCTTAAACTATTATATTATTAATAAAATTATACTATCATATATATAAAACGATTTCTATTGACTTAAATATTCTCAGAGAATATATAACTTATAGTAAATCAACGTGTTAACTCTACGACTTAAGCAATAATATATTTTTATAAATACTCGTGTAACGTCGATCCCAGAAATCATCAATGTTCCCTTGCTGGATCTACCACATGGCAATTTACGATGATAGGAATTTAAACGCCTGTAGATATCCCACAAAGAATTTCATTACATCTTAATTACGTGAGAGGATTTTTTTGTAGGAGCGTTACCAACTATGGAATTTTACGATTTGTTAGCCAATCATATTCGATCTGATAATCAATAAAACTCAATTTCCTGCTGTTCGCCAATTCGATAGCAACCTTTTTTTTTTTAGTTTTGTCAAAATGAAAAATGAATACAAGCAATAGTTGGAAAGAACGAAATTTAACCTGGTGAGTCTTTTTTTTTCTCACTTGACATGACCTGTTGAATGCATAACGGGTGTAAGTTACGCTGCGGTTGAGTGAGCTCGCCGATGTGTGAAAATCTGCGGTGGAGAGTCGCCCGTGTAGACCTGTTGATACGTTCACGGTGCTTCGGAGGAGTTGTAGATGTGTACGTGAGCATGATGAAGACACGAAATGCTAACTTTTTTTTTCTCAGAACAAAACATATGAAGAATTTATTGAAGAATTTAAAGCCATAATCATAGAAGGGCTTGTGAACGGAAATTTCAAAGTCAACTATAATTTTCCAAACGAAACAAAGTTTCTAATGGCATCAAAAGAAGATATTTTCGTTCTTGTGCTTTGTGAGCTCAAAGAAAGGAGTCTTGTCTCACACTCAAAATCCGGCATTAATCGAAAAATTGGGATAAATGATGTGAAAATCATGTCAAGAAAAAGTCCAGCCTTGGGTGTTTTTGGTGCCATTATTACCGACAAGTATTGTAAACATTCCGCAAGGTCAAAGGCGAAAGAGCTGAACGTTCTTATCACAGATCCCACTGAAGCGTTGAGTAAGTTGAGTAAATTTGTGGTGGAAAAAATAAATGAAAGGGAGAATGAAGTGCTAGCGAAATGTATGAGCAAGTTTATGCTTGAGCAAGATGAGATCTAATTTATGCATGTTTAGAATTTTAGATCATGTCATTCCTTTTAAAGATATTTGAGTAATGAATTTTTTTTTTTTTTGAGAAGGATTTTTAATCATTCTCCTCTACTAAATTGGCACATCTAACTTGTTTAATTATTTACTTTAAAAGTGGGAACCTGTCAACACGAAATTGGCTAAAAACATTTTCCTCACTAATCATAAACCTGCTGTAGATTATTGGAATACTCGTTTATATTAAGTAGCTTATTTTAATTGAGGTTTATTAGTATAAATTGATCTAAGCATCACCAGAAGAGAGTTTTAGAACTAATTGGTTTCTTGATAATTAGTAGGTTTATTATACCAGCAGTTCTAAAGTTTGATCTATCGTAGTATGTCTTATACGAAGTTTTCTTGTTTACAATTGTTTTTATAAATTCTGAGACACTCATCAATTCGGTCATCAGAAAATGTTTTAACTGTCCCAAAATTTATGATAAAAGCTGTAAAATTTCGATATTAGTTTGAGATTTAGGCATTACAGCTGTTTTCATAAATTCTGAAACGCACATAAAAAATCTGAGACAGCTTACATCAATCTCTGAATTTCAAACTCAATATTACAAATATTAACACTAGTAATATAAATAAATATTTAAGATAAATACACAATTGAAACCTTATACATATTATTAAAATATAATTAAAGCTACAAAACTATTTAGCTTTTTCTATTATATAGCTTTAAATACAACTTAGAGCAAATAAACTAAATTTTCTTTGCTCGCTTTAACATTTTGTGATAAATTACGCGATTGTTTAATAGCCTTTCTCTAAAAACTTGTAATGATTGAGATTCTTATTTTTAATTTTTAATTTTTTTTTTTTTTGATGGTCGTTATTTTGAGAATGCACTGTTTTTACCTTTTACCAATATTCTTTTTCTTTATTGTGCAGAACATACCTGAACCTTGAACTTGAATTAGTATTCTACATGAAAATTGTGAGGTATTTTTATATTGATAGAAATAAATTTCCTGTTGATCTTTGTGAATTTTTCATCGCATCTTTATAAATAATTCAATGTTAACATTGCTTTCAGTTTCAATATTGTTTTTACTGCAGCATTATATATATAAAATACTATTCGTTGTGT